TAGTTTGGATTGAAGAAAAATGGGGAGTTAGATTTCATGAATCTACTATTACAAGAATTTTACAAAGTAGTGATAAACGACTTACCACTGAAATTGCTAATCCAGAAACAAATCGACATCGATCTGTCACTGTTTCAGAACTTGAGTTAGCACTTAAAGAATTTGTGCTATATTATCAGCATAGAACTATATTGAGTAACGCGATGCTAATTGAAAAAGCCAAACTGCTTGCTAGCAGATTAGAAATTCCAGAAGGAACATTGCAATTTTCTTTTGGATGGCTTCATAAATTTAAGGATCAAAATAAAATTCGTCAGGAAAAACTTCATGGAGAATCTGAATCTGCTGATAATGCTGCTTTTATTGAAGCTTTACCATTACTGCGTGATAAATGTGCTAACTATCTCTTGAAAGAATATATAATATGAATGAGACTGGACTCTTTTATCGATTAGAACCAGATTGAACCCTAGCTACACAACGGCTTTCTAGACGTAAAAAAAATAAAGAGCTCATTTCTATTGCATTGTGTGTAAATGCTGATGGATCACATAAATTAAAACCTTTGATTATTGGAAAATATGCAAAGCCAAGATGCTTTAAAAATATTAATATTTTTAACCTTCTAATAATCTATCGAAATAATGCACAAGCTTGGATGTTATTAACTCTTTTTCAAGAATGGTTTCAAGGATTTGATTTTCAGATGTCCAGAAAACATAATGGTCAGCGTATTTTGTTACTTTTTGATAATTGTCTAAGTCATAAAATAAATGGACTAGTTCTTTCACATGTTGATGTTTATTTTTTACCTCCAAATACAACATCAAAAATTCAGCCAATGGATGCTAGAATCATTATGTCATTTAAAAAAAAATTATCATCATCATCAAATCCAATAGATGTTAGATCAGATTGAAGCTGGTGAATTTGCAAAAAACTTGAAAATGAGTATCTTACAAAGCATTCAATATTCCATTCAAGCTTAGGATGAAGTTAAGGTAAAAACCATTCGTAACTGCTAGCATCATACCAAAATTCTTTCTGTTAATGAAAATATTGAAGAAAATATTGAAGATGACTTACTACTTGAAGAACTTTCTGATGTACTTAAAGTTCTTAATTTTCCTGATGATATGCAAGTAGAAGAGCTTTTAGCTTTCTCTGAAAAGAATATTACTTATGAAGTTCCTAAAGATGATAATATCATTGCAGAACTTGTAGATATATTTAAAAATAAGTCTAATGAAAATCTAGATGAAGATGATGATAGTATTGAAATAGAACTTATTAGTATAAGTGTAGCATCAAAAAGTTTAGAGACTTTTCGTGTATTTTTACTTCAACAAGAAGGTATTATTGAATATTTAAAATCTGTCAATATTCTTGAAAGGTTTATTAGAGAAAAAAAAAGCAGTTTAATGAACAAACTACTTTAGAGCAATTTTTAAATATTAATGAATAGTTATAATAAAGAAAAAAATTTTTTTGATTATCTATAATTTTTATTTGTGACGAAATTTTCTAAATCTGATTAATCTTATTTATTATTAATTGTAATTAATAAATCCAGTATTCGATATAATAAAAACAAATAAATTTATAGTTAATATATTATAAAAATCTGTTAAAATACAGATTTTCTCTTAATGCACACCCTCTCTAAATGCACTCTTTTGCTTGGTCCCAAAGGGGGTGCATTTAGAGAGGCCTGACTGTACGTTAATGTGCAGGAAACCCATAACATTAAATAAACCATAGTTAGCTGAAGTATATGTCACTCCATGTTCAAAAGTTAGTTTTTAAAAGTTTATAATAAAAAAGAAGTAGAATTATATAAATGAATGAAACTTAGTACTTCTCAGTTTAAGTAAACATTCTTGAGAAACTTGAACTTGTTCCAACTTCTAAGTTAAAATCTAACTTTGTAAAATATAAATAATCTCCTTCGTATATTAAGTGTGTTTGTAGGCTTATGATATGCAACTATCAAAAGATAGAGGTGTGTTCGGTCTCTACCACAAAGGTAGGAATGCGAGGTATTTCTCCTCACTCATTGCTTAAAGCAGCTACCGTTGAAGGACATCATTGGAGATTATTAAAATAAAAAAAAAATTTTTTAAAAAAAATAAGCTGATCGTATTATATTGCCGATCATTTATAATTTTAGAATGATCGGTGAATTTCCATGAACTTCTAGAATGTCGATTATTTACCGATCATTACTGTATTTAGAAATTCCATATTTGGTAAAATCCCTGACTGTAGTATGCAAAATTTGATAATATTGTGAATAAATGCTCATGGTATCACATTGTAGTAAATATAAATGTGAAAATCTATATTGTCAAATCTTAACAAAATATTTGGACACTCCATCAGAAAATCATAAGCCTGATTTTTTAAAAACACTAGAGTATTTGATAGGGCTACAACTTGACATTCCTTATTATCACTATGGATTTATTTGCAATTGAAGTACAAGGAGAATAGCATGATAAATATATAAAATTCTTTCATAGAGGAGCCTGAATAATTTCATCAAACAGCAAGAGCGGGATCAACTCAAGAAAGAATTATGTAAAGAAAATTGCATCAACCTAAAATATGTCTGGTATTACAAAGATCTGCATAGTTATTCCAGGATATCTTCGAGAATTGGGTCTTATACAGTAAAGCAAATATGAAACTTTAAATGTGTGTATTTCATTAAAATCCTTATTTTTTCGATATAGTATGCTAAGCCCAATCAAAATAAGAAAAATGGAGTATTATATATACCATCTTAACGAGACCTAAAATTCAAACAATCCTGCATTTCCTTTCATTTGTTAATTTGCGGTGGATCAGACAGTAGAAAAACCAATATGATTCTTAATCTTTTTCTTGAAAATAAAATCCAACGTTTGTTTAAGGAAAAGAAAGGGGAGCGGTATGTCAAAAATGATGATCTAGTCTTAATCAGAAAGCATATCCATGAGCCCAAATGGGTATTAGTAAAAAACTGTTATGAAATTTTTTCGAATGGCCCAAAAACATATCAGGAGAATGAGACATTTTGTGCATTAAAAGCAGATGCAATTCCAGACGTAACTAAATTTTCCCCAGATATGAATACAGTTGTAGTCTTCAAAGATCTTTGTGCTGAATCAAAGAAAATTCAGGGTCAGATTGTTCCATATTTTATTAGTGGCTGACATCAAGGTGTATCAAGCATATATGTGAGCCAGAAATATACACAAATTCCTAAAATTATTCGAGAGAATGTTTCACACTTAGCTTTATTTCGAGGTTCAGGAAGTCGTGAAGATATATGCAGAATTGTATGTCAGTATACAGATGATCAAAAAAAAAGCATCCAAGATAATTGACAAACATTTGCGAGATCGAAATTTTGTGGTCTTCGATTTTACTAAGGCAACTGACGATCCTCTCGCGATTAGATTAGGTTGGGACACGCCCTTAAAATTGGATTAGGGTTCGATCTCACCCTTGTATATTAATACTAATTATATTACATTCTATATACAGTGATAAAACAATCACACAAGGTGTAATACCGATCTTTTTTTACGGGTAATGCACAGAGTAATCTTGTATTTTTTATTTTTTTCAATATGCATACTACACATTACATTTCATACAATGTTAAAAATCAAATTCCCCGCTTCGAGAAAACTTGCAGGAGGCGGAATATTTAAGATTGGTATATGAGCTTTGTGAGGTGATGAATACGATTCTTTATGATACGACAAGCCACTAGGTGTAGATGGTTTGTTCAATTCCTCAATAGAACGATCAACTCTTTCCTGAGTAAAAGAAATTAAAATTATAAGATGCAACTTGTTTAAGAATATGACAACAGACTCTTACCAACAAACTATAAAAGTATGAAATGGCAGAAACTAGATTTAAAAAATTTGCGTCCTCAGTAGGTAATAACATCCTTCCTATCTGTTTGAAACGATATAATCCGTCAAATGGAAGATCCATGCTAAACAATTCGACTTGATACCCTGTTAAATTTATGTCTAGTCAGTTAGCAAAGTTAAAGCTTTAGAAAATTTTGCTTATGACAATCTAACCTTTAGTTATGCATCCAAATGTCTCTAAACACGGAGAATACCCAAACTGTTTGTGTAGAGAATCCAGAGAACCTTTCATAAATTCTCCAAGTTTAATCAAAGCGTGGTTTATTACATTATTTGGTGCACGAGGCGGTTTTATCTCTCCAAAGATAAATTCGTTTTCTTCTCCAAAGAGCACTCTAAAATCCGGTTTTCGTCCATGCTTGTTGTCATCAGATTTACGTCGTTCTTTTGAGGTACTAGACTCTCCATTTGCCCTGATTTCACCAATGTAATTAAGTAGAAAATATAATCTAGAGCATTAGTAGTATGAACTGAATATAATATACTATTTAATGTAAAAATAGGATTTAGTTACCACACGATTTTATAATTCGCCGCATTAAAAATTTCCTCCAACATTAAGTGACAGTATCTATGAACAAAAGTGTCTTCGTCCATAGTATTATTAGTGTTATGACTTGACGATATATTTAAAAAGCTGTATAATACAAGATAACCATGAGTGCATAATTAATGGTAAAACAAAATAACGAATTCTCCACTTACAAATTCATAGTCACAAGTTGCACGCATTCAAAAATACTGGCCTCTTTCTCATCCATTGAAGTATCACATTCAGCCCATGATTGGCGCCACTTTTCTCTCAACATTTTTTTATCCGTTAAAAGCTAAAAAGCAAATTATCATTAATCAATTACTTATTACAATGTATCCTGTGGAACTTACTGTATTATATTCAAACATGAATAGCCGAACTTTAACCGGTAAGGTTATAGGAGTAAGAGATCTGTGCAACGAACCCTTCCAAATTTGATCAGTACCATTTATAAATTTCGGCTTATCTTCTTTCACAAACATTATTGATGAGAGACACCTTAAATTATGATAAAAGTTAAATAACTTAATGTTGGAAGAAAAAAATCCAATTACTTTGCACAACAAGATACTTACATGATTTCATCAAGGTCAGTCGCGTATGAAAGTGTAGGATTATTCTTTATTCGATCAACCGTTTCTGTTTGAAATTCTCGAAAATTTCTGGAAATATTATATCCGTTTGCCAACCACTATAGGTAAAACATAATTATTAATGAATATTTACTATACATGATGAAGCTATTATATTTCAATACTTACATCCAGGGTTGGGAATTTTGTATGTACTAGATAAAATTACCACTGTACTTGTACTGTACTTATACTAATTTTTATATAATGTACTAACTGTACTAACTGTACTAATCATTGTACTAACACTGTACTTCCCAACCCTGCTTACATCGTGATCTGAATCATTAGAAAATTTTATCTTATCAACAACGTGTCCCTACGAAAGTATCGTCCTTGACTGCATAAATATTATTCCATGAGCTTGCCTAATTGTAGTCAATTACTTGAAAAACTATTTACCTATTCCGCTTTTTCTGTAGTATTTATTTCGACGGGTGATTCAGATTCATCGCAGGTGGTATCGACGATCGAATCTTCTGTTCCGCTGGGTGTTTGTTGTACATCAGTAGAGGAAACACTGGTTGATTGGCCAGCGTCAACAACAATTTTCTTACTTGATTTGTTTCGTTTAGGAGGCTTGGCGCTCTTGCTTTCGATATCTTTCATTGACCTACGCTTTCTGGATTTCGTTTTCGCATCTTTAGCAATGTCAGGAGGACTTTGGAAGAAAGTGTCTATCTCATCCTACAGAAATACACAAAGTCAATATAGTGAAATATAAATTGGAAGTATGTGCTAATCCTTAACTAAAAAAAAACTCGTATCCACACCTTTTTTTGAGAAATTTCTTCACGATCTATCAAATAATCATCACCTCCTTTGGTTGTCTAATTGCTCTCGTTTCTGAGAACGCTCTAGATGATTAAGTTCTGAATCGCAATATTTGGCCTGAGAATCATTTCGCATTTCTTGCAATAATTCCCGATTATATATATCGTGCTTCGCAATACGGGCTTCGGTTATATTTTCAAGTATTTCTGTCTTCTCTTCTAAACGCTAGTTGAGTGCAAAATATATAGATAAGTCAACATTCTGCAATAAAAATTCAATAATTTGAATATACCTTTAACTTTTTGGTGCGATCCAGTTGTTGTTTCAACTTCAACATTTTGGTTCTCTCCCAGTATTCTTCAACAGATCGTGATTTTATTGAAAGATGGAGATTTTGTAAAATATCTTTCGCTTTTTCCTTATACTTTGAACTCCCTGTAGCAACCCCAGTGAGAAATTCGCGAAGTTTCTGTTCCGCTAAATCGCGTTGCAAGTATAATAAATCAAATCTCTTGTAAAAATTGACTGGTGTAAAGTGTTCAAATATACTATTCAAGTCTTGCTCATTCTCACATTTTCAAGGATTCAGTGAGTATAAACAATAGTGTATAGCTGTGTAAATATGATAAAATGGGCAAAGAGGAGTAAATATTTCTTTCGTGTTATTTTCTTGACGCGTATATTTTACTATAAATAAAAGAGAAGAGCACGTGTTTACATGAAACTTTAACTGCGCATTTAAAAAACGGAAACGGTTTTTCGCTATCTATCACTACTGTTTATAAGCCCTTTTTGAAGCTTGCGCAACGCAATGACTGTCAAAAGGCTTAATGGGGTGAGAATTTCTATCTTCAAGTAGCGACTGCGAAGAGACCTGTTATCACTGCTGTTTATAAGCCCTTTTTGAAGCTTGCGTAACGAAATACTGTCAAAAGGCTTAATGGGAGTGAAAATTTCAAGTAGGCTTCAATGATTGTCAAATGCTTAAATAAGCGTCAAGGATAATTTTTTTTTTTTCTATGCGTTTACGAAATTTATTTTAAATTACTTTCAAATGTCAAGAGAAGCGAATGAAATATATGATGCTGTCAAAGAGGGAGGGAGTACGCGGATCCTAGGCCATTTAATGCGAGTCCTAGCATCAAATTATTTATTTGCCTTCTCACTCACTTTTACGAAAAATATCTATGTTTCTATCGCTACTAATCACAAGGTTCTAACCCACACCCTTTTTCTACATGATATTTCCGAAATTAATTACTACCCCATCCATATCTACAGAATTTTTATACAATATCACTACACCCGCACAGACTATTTAAGATTATTCCCGCAAGAGAACTTTACCGAGATAGAAAATTTTTCTAATCTACATCGTTAAATTCGGGAGGTTAGTAACTGAAGTAAAAAAATAATTCTTCCAACCCACACTTACTGATATAGTTCATTTTCGCAATATTCCATTTCACCGCATATACGAGGAATTGATTGCTTAATTTTTTATGCGTTGTCGCCAAAATGATACTGGACAAAGTTCAGCACATAAAGATGCTTATGTCAGAAAGATTGTTTGACGGACTTTGCTTTGCCGTTTCATGTGACGAGATTCATGTGAATAATTTCACTACGTCTATTGTACGTGCGATGATGTTCTGTGATTTTCTCGGCAAAGATCAAAATGTTGATATATAATAAGAAAAGTAATATGTCCGTTTTATTTTGGAACATCTATAGAGGCAGGAAATCGGTTAAGATCGCGTTGACATGTTTCAAGAAGCTAGCCTAATAATAAGCCAAATTACCTTGTTATTATTTTGCTTATATTTGCACAAGGCAGATAAAAGGGTTCACTAACTGTCTTGCCTTCTTTTTATATGATTTGTAGTAGTCCAAGAATCGAATTTGGAATAAATCTCCAAGGAATTATGATGGCATCACAGAAAAGTCAGTTCAACAGATCTGCTCAAAGACATAATAAAATCCTTGATCACTAACCGTATGGGATCATGCCCTTGGATCAACAAAGGGGTCGTTTTTTATTATTATTACATGAGTATCTGCAAGAATATTACGCGTCTACAAGATGTTACGGTCAATTTTTTCTTAAGTCGCATAGCAATCATCTCAGCAATAATTTTTCTGAATATTATACTGCGCATTTATTGGGATGCAAATACACAAGATAATTCTGATAATGGCGAAAAACTTCACAAATCCCTCAATTCCCACAATTCCCACAACCATACTATGCGGAATATTATCATGTAAATATATTGTGCTTAATGCACCTTTGTTTTATTGATTGTAAATAAAAAGTACGTAGAAATCATCTATTTCAGATTGCATGCTTATGAAATATATTATTATATAATAATATTCAAAAGTAAAAAATCACGTGCTTTCTGAGACCGCGCGGTCCCAGAAATTTGCCAAGAAAATTTTTATTAGTACACGAAGGTATATTTGTGAAATAGACCACCAGGGTCACTTTATTGATACAAAATAATGGTATATAATATAAATTACAAAAAAAAGAAACTAATCATCTCGCATTGGAGTAGTATTATTATCTTCCTTTTATCTTTCTGATATGGAAATGGATGCGTGATATAGTAGGGACAAATTTGTAATTAATATGTTTCGTAAAAGTAAAAGGATTTCTATAAATTTAGTTACAACACCCACATCCGACAATCGTATAGGAATTTCAGCCGATTGTAAATGAAAATATCTATGAATGTTTGCTTTATCTCTAATAAGAACATTCAGATGCAACATATTCCCAGCTACTTGCACTCCAACTATTTCAAATTGATCTTTCTCTGGTTTAAGAACTTTGCGCTTTCTCCAGTTTAAGAACTTTGCGAACCCAGAATATGCCATCATTACTTTTTCTCATAGCTTTATCTCATCATCTATCTTTTCTGTTGACTACAGTATAATCATGAACATTTGACATATATAAGCTCGAGCTCGAAGAAAACATCTAAATATTTAACCACATACATAATATCTGATCATCTTTCCATCTACCCTTCATCTTTCCTATCTGCATTAACAATACTACTCTGTTGTTCTGAAGTACGGATAGTCTAAAAGGAAGATTTTTTAATATTGCTCGAATAGACAATAAAATAACCATTGATTGATAGGTTTCTTTATTTAGTAATTTCACAAGTTTAGAATTAAAAGCTGGATTAATCCAAATATCTTCCAGAAGAATTAAACCTTCTTTTATAACATCCGTGATTTTTTCTTCCGATTTTTTCTAGGATTCATCATTAATTAGTTTATCTGGTATTGTATTCTAAATAGTATGATCAATAAAACTTGTTACAAATTTTACACATTTTTTTAACTATCATCATAGGAGCAGGCATCATTTGCTAAGCAGGTTTCTAATATAAAATATATATTATATTTAGTCTTAAAGAACCTTAATCATATGTAACTACCTTCAAAAAATTTATGGTTATCTATTTTAAATGCTTTTTTTAGATTTGGTGGTGTTTGCTTAATAACTTCTGATTGATTGCTAATAACTCAGCTGGCCAAAGGATCCTTTCAAGTTAAGCTTTAAATAGATATAATATTTACTTTGAAATATAATTGTTGATAAAGAGGTGAAGTGACTTTTCTAAGCTTTTCTTTCAGTCATTTATATTATATTTAATCTGATCTGAGCCAAAAAGAATTTTCTTATCCATTTTAATTACCCCATGTCATATAAAATACAAACACTTTCAAAGATAATGTCAAACTAAAAAATGTATTGTGTTAGATTTCAGAAGTAAAAAAGAAGTTCTCATCATAAAAATAACATAATCATCAATGTATATGTGAAGTTATCATCTTTGTGTGGCTATCATGCAGACAAAACTTCATGTGATATTAACAAAGTAACATAATAATTCATATCTTAACACACCCTTAACATGACAATAACATTTTTACATAATAGATTGGTAGGATAAACTATAAAACTGTATAACAGATTATAGCATATACACATTTCTACTATGTATAAGTATTTACTAGCAAGCGAGCTGAATAGGTAAACTGAACATAAGTAACAAACCAAAAAACAACTTGTTTATTCAGGTTTACTTTAGTAAATGATCACATGGTATCATCATATAATAATAAAAGCTAAAATGTTTGTATAAATCCTAATTAACCAGTGATAAAATTTGGAAATTTTTTAATTATTAAGAAGAATCTTCTATAAATATATTACTAGCAGATCTCACAGTTCATTTTATAATTGATTTTAATTCTGTTTGGAAAACTCGGCAGTTTTCTTTCATTCTAAGATAAATAATAGACATAGTTTTTATTTGGTGTTTCTCAAGAATTCATAAATCTTATTATATATTATGGTATACATATAGGAAGCAGTCAGTAAAAAAGGGGGAAATCCAAATTTTGGTCAAAATTTATATTATTAAACTTCTTGGCTGATCTTGATCATGTGCATAAAATTAGCTTAATAATTAAAATTAACAAAAATTTTTAATTTCCTCTTTTTTTACTGACTGTCTCCCATATTTATATAGTTAATTTAAAATATAAAATAATACTAATATATTAAGATAACGTAAACAGCAAAATAAACAACAAAAAACTAAAAATTACCTATACTTTCCTTTTAATGCTACTATTTTCTCATATTTCATCTCTTTAAACTCATATTTATATTGTAAAAGAAATAGGAAAAAATATGCAAAGCACTTTACATTAAAATTTTATATTTGTTAGTAAAAGACATGTGGAATGTTTATTAAAGATCTCAATATTTTTAAAGATGTTGGAAATAATGCATATACAAACTTTTTTGCTCACCTTAATACTAAGACCTGATAACATTATATAAATATGTTTAACTTGAAATATAATATAAATAGCCTATCCTTCTAAAGTAAATATATATACAGTGGCTTCCAAAAGAAACGCAAGTGGCATTGCTTGCCTTTAATTGCCTGTAACTCACTGTGCACGAATGCTAG